AAACAGGGTCACCTGCAGGACTTGCAAGCTCTCACTCATCCCTCCAGCCTGCTGAGAGGTGGCTTTTAGGGCTCGGAGCTTGCACTGTGCTTTGCGCTTAAAGCAGAGCTGTGAACTCTGTTATGGGTGAGTAATGCTGTGTGCCTCTTCCCCAAATTTACAGCACTGCCTCTCGGTGTGAATTTTCTGCAAGGGAAATGAGAAAATCCATAGCTTGGTTTATGAGCCCTAATCAGTGTAAAACAGGGCCTTTAAGAAATTTATCTTTTGCTGAGTCCACCCTTTTATTTGGCACCTTCCAGGGAATAAATTCTCTCTCCTTGAGGCTGGGGAGCTAGCTCCTGGTGGCAGCAGGTCTTGGGGACTTCAGTCACAGCCTCAGGTCCCTGCAGCAGGAACAGGCAGGGCCACTGTCTCCCTGGCCCATTTGGGAACGTCCCAGGGAAGAACAACCAGGAGTTTTTGCGTGTGCGTTAATATTGTCACAGGATGTTCCCGGAAGGGCCAGATCCCGTGACTTCTGTAATGTACAGGGATAGGTACCTGGGACTGGGGCAGTGACACTTTAATACCCCGTACACTACATGATGTTTTGATGTGGAATACTGAAACCATTAAAAAAAACAAAAACATAGAACCATGACACAGGAGGCTTTGGAGCTGGACACGGGCATCTCTGGTGCATCTTGTGATGGCTTAGGTACCAGAGAGATCTCGTTTTGGTGTGTATTTCCAAATGGGAGCATGTTCCCTGGAAATATCCCGTGCTAAGGCTGGGGTGGCTTAAAGTGTCTTGAAAAGAGGTCATGCATCTGGCAGTGGGGAGAAACCCTGTCACAGGAACATCACAGCCCAGGCATAACAGAGCAAAGAGAAGCAAAATCGAAGCATCACCTACTTCCCTTGCTCTAGCAATGGGACATGGACACATCCCAACCCTTGTGGCAGCAGAATTGACTGTCCCAGTGACAGCTGTGCTACTGGGAGCACACAGGTGTGCAGCTGATGGATGCTTCCCTGCTCAGCCGGGCAGCGGAAATATAATTTATTCATTGCTATTTTCTTTGTTATTTCCTACCAGCCTGTTTTACACAGGCAATTTTGGATAAGTGGCATTAGATAAATAATGCATAGTGTTTGCCACCAGTTTATGTGCAACAGATGGGCATGGGCAGGTATGTATGTTGGTCGGCCGCTCCTGCATGCCGTGCTGATGTCTCTGCTCCAGGCTGGTGTCTCCAGCCTGGCTGGGTCCTCGCAGTGCTCTCAGGTTTGCTTTTGGCCACTTGTGTGCATTTTTACTTACGCACACCTGCTTGCAAATGAGCCAAGTGCTGCTGCAAGTTGGGGGTGTTCGTGCAAAAACCATCATTGGTTTGAGGGGGCTTTGCAGAAGCAGGGGACAGGAGAGGCAGGAGTGAGCACTGTGCTGGAGCTGCCCCCTGCATGGGCAGCACGCCTGCATGCAGGCGGGCTGCGTAACAGCCGGAGATCTGGCGTGAGCACGCAATGTTGTCATGGGCCCTGGAGGTTTTGCTGGCATGAACTGGGGATGATGAGTTATGCAGGTCATCCCGCGAGTGCACTGTAACATCGGTATCCCCTGCAGCCCGGGGTCTGAATGTGCCCCAAGTGAAAGAGAAGAAATACCTCCTACAGAAGTGTTTTAGAGACCTCTTAAAAGTTTTATGGGTACTATTTTTTTGTATCCCTCCACCTGTGGAACAAGGCATCTTTAGTACATTCAGCCCTCAGCAGGAGAGGAAAATTACAACTGATCCATTTCAGAAACCTCTAAAAATGACCTAAAATAACTTTTCTATATATAAAAATGCCACAATTTTAATGTCCATTATCTCATGACCTAGCAGGGCTAGGAAAAGCTATTGTAGATCATTTTTAGTGGTTTCTAAAATGGATCGGTTACACTTTTTTCACTACTCAGTGGGACTCAGGGTACAAAAGCATCTGGGCTTTAGAGGTGGCAAGAGAGACAGAACCCTGTTCTAGGCTTCCTTAACTTATCCCTAGGAAGGGATACTTTAATCCTCAGGGGCCGTCTTGTGGTGTCCCCAGTCTGGCAGAGTGCTGGCGCTGCTCAAGCAGCAGTGATTCCTGATGAGCCAGAAGGGAATTGGTCAAGGGGATACAGTGCAGGATGAGGAGGGCAGCCCCATCCCTGACGTGGGTCTTCTGCAGGATTTGCAGCACAGTAATGATGGTTGAACAGATTATACTACCTGACAGAGTTGTCCATTTTGTGAGGAAATTGCACAAGTGAATGCATTCCTGTGAGTGGCATGAGCCTGCTCACTCCCTGAAGCTTTTTGCAGCAGCTGAGCAGAGGGGGTGATGGGAGTAATGGGTTTGGGAAGGAGCCGTGGCCCAGGCATTAGCCACCCCAGGCATGCAGAGTGGACGTCAGCAGAGCACGTGGGAGAGGGGGCTTCCTGCTATGCAAGAGGTTAATAGACAGATTAGAGAGGGCAAGCAGTGTTTGCAGCGAGAGGAGAGGAGCTGTGCCTTGATGGAGCTCAGCAGCTCCACAAGGAGACAGGGAAGTAAATATTTGTCAGGATTAGGGAGGCTGCGGGCGGTCACTCCCATGTGCCTCTGAGAAGTGCCCGTGCTGCAAGAGGCTGAGCCTTGAGCCTGGGCTCCAGGGGCTACATGAGGCCACCACTGGGCTGGAGACTGCAGGGGCTCAGGGCTGGACATCAGCCTGGTGGGATAGGGAAAGGAAGGGTGGAACTGGGCTCTGTGCACCCAGACACACTGCCCAAAGCCTTCTGAGATCCTCAGGACAGAAAAAGCCTTTAATGCTCCCTGATGGCTCAGTTTTCCTTTGCTGCCTTTCTTGCTCTCTCTATCAGCCGTCAGCCTGGCCCACCTCCAAAGACAGCATTATGGAGTGCAGGATCGATTGGAGCCTGCTATTTTATTTGCTGTCTGTAAGATCCTTTGATGGGTAGGATGAGCTGTGCTGGCAAGGATTTTCTTGCCAAGGCTGGGAGAGGAGCAGGGTTGCAGGCCACCATCTGCTGTAGAGTGATGGGACTTGCCACCAGCTCAGGAAAGGTGGCCATGACCCTCTCTTGGTGCACCATCACATCTCACAAAGGGCTTGATGCTGCCGCTGTAGTGGCACCTGGGGACATGGCCAGGTGGGCCGTAAAGTGCCACAGCCACATCTCCAGATGGCATATCAGCCTGGCTTTGCACTGACTGAGTAAGCACGATGGAAGCAGAGACTCGGGCAGTTCCATCTCCCTTCTCAGGCTCCTTTTCCGCCTTATGCCTAAAGGCACTACAGCCAAATGACTGAAGCTGCCACAAGCACAGAAGCTGGGGGCTGAGACCCTGCCCCTGACCCCAGCGTGGGTGCCCAGGGTGCCCATGGAGATGCAGCTCCCTTGCAGACTGCTGCAGAGCAAGGGTAGGAATGGGCAGCAGCGAGCAATCCTGTGTCTTTTGCAAAGCAAGGCAGAGACACGAGGCCAACTCAGAGATTGCTGAGAGCTGAATCTGGTCTAATTGCAAAGATAAATTATCAGCTGGGCTAATTGCAGGTAGGGCAAGGCACCGTACAGGACATTGGCGTTGTCCTGTATCCAGAGCCTGGAGTGGCTCCCGCTCTCCTACAGGAGCTGTGCGGTGCTGAACACAGAAGGAGAGTCCCATGGCATCTCCCCTGCACTGCCACTGCCATACTACCAGCCCCATTCCCAGCCCCATTCCAGCCACCGTGCCAGGCGGGTGCTGTGAGCCCACACTGCCACCGCGCGGTCGCTGGGACACTAGAGCCTGTCCCGAAGTCCCCTGCACCACTTCACCCCTCAGAAACATCTCACAGGGGCCCTCAGAGACTTCCTGTTGGCCCCTGCAACAGGTGATGCTGTGCTCAGCTTGTTGCAGCCTCACTCTTTGGGTATCTGTGGGGCAGGGAAGGGGTTAAGGACGACCATAGGAAGAGGAGGAGAACAGAGATGTAGTGGGGAGAAGGCCCTTGTTTCTGTTCTTGCAATTAGCTATGGAGGATCTGCTTAAATAATTTACCTGGGAGGCTCATTACGAGGCTCTGGCCTTCGTCTGCCGTCTGAAGGCTGAAATAGCCATTAGGGGGAACACACATCTCCAAGCAGCCTGCCTGCCCCTCCACATCCCACACCCTGCCTGTGCTGTCCGTTCTGTGGTGCCTCCTCACTCCATCCTGCCCCAGGGTGATAAGGCATGCACAAGCCCTGTGCCTCAGTTTCCCCCATCCAGCCAAGGGAGTTCATCTTAGTCCAAGGTGCCATGCCATGATGCTGCTCTTAGCAATGGAAGAGTACAGGTACTGAAAGGAGTTAACTTCAGTGATTTTAGCGTGTTACTAACCTGCAAGGGCAAAATTTATCAGCAGAAAGGTATCACAGTTCTTCCTCCCACATGAGTGTTTCACAGAGGCTTCCTGCCGCTCTGCTGCACTCCTGCATGCTGTGATCTTCGCTTGTATGTTTGGGAAAGCCGAGTGCAGCATGAACACTTGGGGACAGGATGCTCTGCCTCACTGCTGAGAGCAACAGTACAGCTGTTCCTGCAGGGCTGGATTTTCCCCGCTGGTTTCAGACTGCTTCTCTGCATCTTGTCAAAGCTATCCTTCTCCATCCCTTTAAGGACCTGAAGTCTTCCTGAGGATCATCCCTCAACAAGAAGTTTAGCACTCCCTGGGGACATGACGGAGAAAGCCGTGAGCGCTGCAGCTTAATGGGGTCAAGAGAGCAGCACATCCTCCCCATCAGAATCATCTCTGTGTAGCGATCTCAAAGATAATTTCCCCAGTACCTGCCAACCTTCTCTGCCACCCTTTATCTCATCAGAACTGGTGACCTGCTGGGGGAGGAGGCAAGCTCTCAGCTGGACCTGGGGGTGTGCTTGAAGGGGAAGGACCTCTCCGTATTTAGGAGCTGGTGATAAAGCCCACCTGGATGAATAATTCCTCTTTTCTTTTTCCTTGACAGTCCCTCCAAAAGAGCCAGTGCTGATGTGTCGGTCCAACAACTACCCGAAGGGTTTCTACTGCAGCTGGCACCTGCCCAGCCCCACCTACATCCCCAACTCCTTCAACATCTCTGTCATGTAAGTGCCTTGGAGGGAGAGCACTTCGTTCCCCACAGCAGGTTCCAAGTAGTGCTTGGGTCAGCTGTGCTGAGTATGTACTGTCAGTGCCTGAAAGATGGGCCCTAGGACGGGTGCTTGGCATGGGGGCTTTGTCCCAAGGAAGATCCCATTTCCCTACAGGTGACTGCCAACATAGAGGCCTGTGAGGCCTGGAATCCTAAAGGCCTAGAGGGTTGAATATAAGGCATAAAATCCTTCAGGCCTGCTTAGGGGCAGGCATAGAAGGAAGCCTTGAAGCTCAGAAGCCCCAGTACCTAGGATGTTAACTAGAGTTCTTAAGCTCTGGAAAGAGACCTATGGGTCTAGGTGTGGATCTGGGGGCCTCAAGGCTCTGAGGCCGACTCGTAGATCCCCTTTCTGTGCCCCTGAAGTCCATCCTGTCCATACCACTTCTCTGTGGTGGAGGTCATACCTTCTGTTTTTCAGCAATTTTGGCACAGCCATGCTCCCTCCTGAAAACTGGCTGTGGCCAGTTTGGGCCATGGCATGGCATCACCCACCGCCCTGAGCAGGGGTCCTGGAACTACCCTTCTAATACCACGCCTTTGTTTTTGGGGCTTATTTCCTGAGCAGAAATAAGATAGATCCTGATCCTCCCACAGGAGAGGCAGAACCAACCCTAGCCCCAGCGAGGTCTCATCCTTGCAGCTGAACAGGGGAAGAGCAGCAGCAATTTCTGGAGGCCAGCACAAACACCTTCACCCCAGTCTCTCTGCAGACTTCCGTCCATAATAGCAGATCCTCATGCAAAGTTCTCTCCCGTGAGGGTGGCAGAAGGGGTTCTGGCATTAGGGGACCTTGCACAGAGTGGGTGCACCACACTGCTGCTCTACAGCTGTGTGTGTGTGCATCCCCACCCTGAGTGCTGGCCTGTAGCTAATTGCTCTTCTCCTCCTACTTCCAGACATGGCACGAGAGAGATGGTCTGTGAAAAGGACATCTTCCCCAAAAACAGGTGTCACATCAGATACCTCCAGCTCTTCTCAACAGTGAAGTACAAGGTTACTCTGACCGTCACGAATGCTCTGGGCAAAAACTCCACCACTCTCACCTTTGACGAGTTCGCCATAGGTAACTTCCACAGCAGCAACTGGCCTCTCTGAGCCAGTGTTGGGTTTGGTTTGATCTGTGCACTGCATCTCCCACTGCAGCAATGGGCAAAGGAAGTGTCAGGGTCCCAAGTCTCTGTCTGCCCATGCATGAGATAAAGCTGGGGTATGAGCCATGCCGGCATCTCTCTAGAGTCTCGAAGGATTGTGGCATTTGGGTTTTGCTGTGGGACGTGTGCTCATGCTGTGGTGTGTGTGGTGGAGGGGCTGCCATGTAGGGATACGACACCTGGGCATCCTGGGGGAGCAGGGCAGGGTGCAGACAAGCAGCCCCCATGTGGTCCCTGATGTTTTGACTGATGCTATCCTCTGTGGTCTCAGGTTTCTCAGGGTGCTAAGCTTCTATTAGTTAGGGTCTTGGGAAGCAGCTGTCACAGGGCAGAGGGCTGGGGAATCATGGCGATGCTCTTCTCACACCTCTGAATATTGCTAAAATAGAAGTTTTTTCTTCATGTTTGAAGCAAATTTGCAGGAATTGGCTTTGGAAGACAAATTCCAATTACATGTGCATGCATAGCACAAGCACAGCCTGGACATGGAGCAAAACTGACCCTCTGTGGCTGCTGTCATCCTCTGAGTATTTCGCATCACCCTGGCTATAAATGCCCAACAGAGCTCTGCAAGGCAGCAGGAGCAACCATGGTGCCATAATAGCTCTGCATGTGTGCTGCCCCGTCTCCCATACTTCTGCAAGGCTACTGCTCAGCCTCCGACTGGCGCCAATAGAGGCAGAGAGGGCTCAGCTCTTCTGATGGAACTCTTTCAATAGTGGACCATTCTGGAGCAAGCAGTTCAGAGGGAAAGTGGCAAAGCAGGGAGCTGAGCACGGGGCTTTTGCCACCTGCCGAAGGCAAACCACAGCTGGTGAGGAGACAAGATTGTCCATTTTCAAAGAGCAGGAAAAATGAGAGAGAGGAATTCAGAAACAAGTCAAAAAACAATTTGCTGTTTACATGAGGCAATTACTGGACCAGAAAATCAAATAAATGAATCTCTGAAATGCAGCCAGCAGTCAGTCAGTGCTACGGACATGCTGCGTGTGCCAGTCTTGAGCAGCCAGAATTGCCAGAGTGCAGGTAGAAGAGCTCCACTGCTGTCTCAGATTTTCCCTTTCTACTCTAGGTCCTGGAAAACATCAAACAAGAAACAAGGTGCCAGTTCCGAACAGAGCAGGGAAATTATTTTGGAGCAGGGACTGGGACTGTCCTCTTGTGTCCCCACTGCTGTGATCCACATCCAAAGTTCCTATTCTTTGGTGCATTGTGAACATTAATAACAAAGCAAGGAGCTTAGAAGGGCAGTGGTGGAGTTTTAGTCACTTGGGTGTTTTTAAATGGAAATTGTTGTCTTTGTGGAAGATACACTCCTTAAATGAAGGTAACCTCCGGACAACAGTCCCAGGGCAGCAATTAAGCTGCATTTTCTGAGTTCCTTGCATTCCCTCCTCCAGGAGTTCAGGGCATCCTCCTGTAATATCTGCATCCCACCCATGCCCTTCCTGGCTTGGAGAACATCTGATGCCACTCCTGAGTAAAGCAGCCGGCACCACCTCTGCAGGAGGAATCTGCCGGTCCCCCTTCAGCAAGCAGGGGCATCCCCCCCGGGAAGCACACCCGGCTCAGCACCAGCACAATCCAGATCCAGCCCAGGAGCCTGAACTCAGCTGGGTCAGAGCAGCAATGAGCAGGGCCAGCTGCTAGCATGGGTGCAGTACCACTGCCTTTCACCAGATGTGTTCCAGCTGTTGCGGGGGTGTGAGACCCCCAGTACCCCATGGCAGACGCTCAAAGGCACTTAAGGAAGGGGTGATGGGACAGCACAGTGCTTCAATGTATTCCAGCCTTAAAATCTCCACGTTCTGCATGGCTGTGAAATTTTCCCCCTTAGCATTTTTTACAGCTGTAGTGTGTAAGAAGTGCAGAGGTGATCAAGCAGGCAGTCAGCAGGAGTAGCAGAGATGTTCCAGGATGAACTCAGCAATAGCCAAGTATCCCACATCGAGCTTCTCCTTGGGCCTTCCTGATTTTTGATTAAAACAAGTGTGCTGCACTACTGTATTTTGCTTTTGCTTGGCATTTCTGCCTGGGTGATTCTGGTGGTAGGAGAGCCCTAGGTTGCCTTGCATGTCTGCAACTCCTGGAGATCTGCTCTCTGCAGCTGCAACTGCAGCAGTGCAGGGTAGAGCCTGTGCCCCAGAACAGTTGGTGGCACCCAGCAGAAGTCACCAGTCAGAGAGTTCATCTTTGAATTCTGCCTTGCTAGATGGAAGTGCAGAGAAACCTCAGGCTTGAAACAAAACTATTTCACTGACTTGTTGCAAAGGGTTCAGGGGTGTAAAGCCCTTACTTTGTGCCTGCTGGGACCACCCACTGGCCAACCACAAAAAGACCCCTGGGAAGAGGTGATCTCTTTTGGTTTTGCTTCCTTCCTCTTCCACCAGAGTCCTCAGCAGCAAATCCCCTCCCCAGCTGCTTGGAAGATGGACTCTAATTGAGTGGAAAATGAGTGGTGCTTTCTTTTGATATCTGGAGCCAATGCCTTGCTGGCGGTTGCACAATGCTGCCTGTTAGCAGCCAGCTACAAGGGGCTGCTCTGTATTTCCATTCCTAGTGATGACTGGAAGAAGGTTTCCAGCCCTCTGACCCCCATCTTTCATTGCTAGGATATCCGGGCAGCCTCCTGCCCTGTCTCACTGCTGGAAATTGTTTTCATAATTATGTTTTCTGCAAAGGTATAAATATTAATAAAGGTGAACTTGGTGAGGGCAGGGCTGTGCAAAACCCTGCAGGCATCACATCTCCAGTCTCTAGCCAGGAGAGAGAAGGGCTGGAGGAAGAGAGGAGAGGGCTTGAGGCAGAGGAAGGTGCCAGGCAGGAGTGGTACAGTGTGCTAGGGGCTACCCTTCCCCTTCTGACTGCTGGGAACACTGATGTGATTCAGGAATGTATCCCCCACCTCCAAGAGCATCCTGCCACAGAGCGGGGACAGCACCACAGTGCCAGCATCCCACCTCAGTGGCAACGCCTTTTTTTCTTTTAATGCAAACACAGGGCAAATTAGCCGGAGAAGATGCACAGCATTAAAAATGTATTGGCAGCACTGATTATTCTGGCGAGATGGCAGGGCTGCAGACAAGCAAGGGAGCGCAGAGGGGCTTGCTTAGGTGTGATCACAGAGGATTTCACCCAAAAATTGTTGAGCAGATAATAAAACAAAGGTTTATTATCAGATTTTCTTACCTCACCCCATGCCACGCTGTTGGGATATGCTCAGGACAGGCGGAAAGTGGCAGCACAGGCAGTGGTGTCATTCCACATCTGCCACACATCCCTTGTGTGACCCTGGGGAGGTCGCACGATTGTCCACGCTGCATCTCCGGGGCAGTGAACGCACAGTGTTGCAGAGGGGCTGTGTGAGGATGAACGCGCTGTCCCCTGTAAGAAATTCAGTCTCTGAGCACGGGTCTACAGTTGCCCAGACAGAAGGTCAGTTCAATTCATACTACTTAGGGAGGCAGAATTAAATTACGTAGACTGACATTTGGCTAAGACATGGAGTTTAATGTCCCTCTTCTCAGGGAAAATGCCAGGGGATATTTAACGTCCGCAAGGCATCCATTTCAGCATGGGGCAGAAGGATGGATACATGGTGTGTGCTCAGGCAGCACCTCCTTCGATGAGCACTTGTGGTTCAGCGTGAGCCTGCAGAGCCTTTAGGCAAAGCCTGTCCTGTTCTAAAGACAAGAGATAACTGCAGGACCGTTTCTGAACCCGAAAGCGAAGCAGAATGAGCTGGAAGCTGCCTCCCAACCAAATCCCATGTCTCCTTCTCAGGAATGTGTGGAGATGCTCCCTCAGCTCTGCGGGATAATATTACATCTGGTTTTGCAGCCGCTTAACCAATACTCAGCCTAATGCCCATCGTCCATTATTATTATTATTACTATTATTACTTATATTACATTACTGCCTGTGGGCCTGTGCTGAGGACACAGCTCCATTATGCTCGCTGATGTACAGCCAGACAGCCCTTGCCTTGCAATTTGCTGCTTAAATGGACTGGGCAGACAAAGGCCAGGGGAAGGAGGAGTGGGGAGCAGGGACTTGGGATGCTATGGAGGATGAAGCACTCCTTCAAGGTCAGGCACTGGACCAGTTGCAGAGGTGGTGTAGATCCCCATGTACTGGCTCCCACATCCTCGCAGCGATGGAGGGACATGGCAGGAGTTTTCTGGGAGGGGCTGGCACTGCCGCACCTCTCTTAGGCCTGGGCAGGAGTCCCACAGCCAGGGGGACACCTGGGGAGGCAGACGCAGCCCTTGTGATGGTTTTCCCATTAAGACGCAGTGACGTTTGAAGGCTCGCTGCAGCTGGGAGCTCTGCCACGCTCACAGTAAGCCAGCACAGCTCTCCTCTAATGTGAGGGGGTCACGTCCCTGAAAAATGAAGGGATGACTTCCTCCCTCAGCATCAGGGCACCTTCCTTGCTCTCCTCCAACCTGACCCAGTGGCGTTTCCCATTCCCTGTGTTATGCCGGAGCTCTCCTCACAGCTGTGACATCCCATTGCATCCATCTCCACCCTGGTGCTTTTATCCCTTGCTGTGGAGCCACAGTTTGCTTTCATCTGCATTCATTCAGCCAAACAGATTTTTTGTTTTGCAAACCCAGCCCAGTGAGCCAGCACTGGATTTATACTTTTCCGTATGTGTTTGGCCTCCAAGGCCCCATGGATGGAAGCTGATGTCCAGCCCAAGCCCGGGGATTCAAAGCGAGCAAGGGAATTACGCAGCCATCTGGAGTAGCTCAGCATTGCAGTCCCAGCAAATCATCCCTCCCTCCACAGCTCCTGCCTGCCTCACACAGTTCCTGTCCTCAAATGTGATGACTACAAAAACCTCGTGCACAGATTGCCTGCACTGCCCAGCTCCAGCCCGCCCCTTGCAAAGTGGCAGTGAGTGGCAAGCACATGAGTTTCTGCAGCAGTGCCATCTCACATGAGCACCCAGTCCCATACAGCTTCAAGCCTCACTTGCCCCCTTCACTGACCAGAGGAAGCAAAGCCCTTGTGGAGATGTCATCTCCCTGGAGCCAGCAGGGAGGAGACGGCTCTGAGTGCATTGCAGGAGCTCTGTCAGGCTCTTCCCAACCCCAGAATCTCTCCTGCGTGATTGGAATTAGAGATGGTGCCTTCACAAGTTTCTGGTCAGATCAGGAGCACTGCGTTATCTGGCAGTTTCTAGGCTGAAGTGACAGTTTCTTCATGCAGTCTTCATGTGGATTTTGGGAGTGTTGAGAGCTCTCCCAGGACAGCACCATTCTGTGATTCTGTGATTAGGTGACCACCTGCATCACTATTCTTAGTGAACACAGAGAGCCTTGTGAGCAGTCCCACGGAAATCCTTCACCTTCCTGGCTCCCAAGTTTGCAGCAGAGCTTCAGGGTATCTCCATGCATAGCTCCTCAGAGAGAGTGTATTTTAACCTGGCTGCCAGGCCCCTGCACAACCCATATTTTAGACTTCTCAGAGCTTTCCTGCTGCAAACTGAGAGTCTGAGCTGTTGAGATCTGGGCAGACTTTTGGTGAGGAGCAAAGCTGACTCTGCAAGAGGCAACACTGTTCATCACAGCCTATTTAGGTTTTGATCCCAGCACTTTAAAGTAGCAGCAACTTCTGAGCATGTTGCACAGTCAATTAATATTCACTTGAAATACTTATTGGGTAGTGAAAAAATATCTCTGTATCTCAGAAGCAGAGCAGGAATGAGAAACCACCGGGTTTGCCTGTGCTGCATGCAATGGGTCAGTGCCTGGAATCCCCAGCCCTAAACTGCAGCCTGCTGAGAGGTGAGTAGATCTGATGGCAGGTCAGCCTCCCAGCCATCTGGAGGAGCAAGGAAAGCATGGAGTTAGGGCTCAGCAAGCTCCCTGCACTCACCCAGGTACCTGTGGAGAGGAGGGATGTTCTCTGTTCTGTCCAGGTGCTGGCATCTCCTTAGTGCTGATTATTCTGAGCCAGGATATTCCTGTCCCATACGCATTAAAAGGTGATTTTCTACAGCTGATGAGCCATCGCTTGGACTTACTCATCCCCAAAGCACATCACCTAGGCAGGCTTTTCACCCACCTCCCCACTGTAAGACCTGTTGCATCCAATCAGGGGGACTTTAACAGCTGTTCTTTTCCCTTCCAGTAAAGCCGGATCCTCCAGAGAGCGTGGTGGCCAAGCCTGTGCCCAATAACCCAAGGCGGCTGGAAGTGTCATGGCAGAACCCCTCATCCTGGCCCGACCCTGAGTCCTTCCCCCTCAAGTTCTTCCTGCGTTATCGGCCCCTCATCCTGGACCAGTGGCAGCACGTAAGTGATGCTGAGCAGGAGGCAGCAGGCTGGCAAGATGGGGTGACCTGGGACCGAGAAACGTTCACTTTCCTGTCAACACAGCCCCTTTTCCTCTCTTTTTTTTTCTGCCTCCCTTTTCTTCCTCTTTCTTTTAAGTCATATTCTGCCTATAAATGGCTCTGCAGGCTCTCCCCTTTTTGCATTTTAATCTGTGGCCTGTATCTGTTTTCCATACATATGTTCTATATAAAACCTGCCAACAAGATGTAAAAGGCATTTAAAGTATAAATGTCACTGCATTTAAATGTGCCTCTGCCACATTTAGATTTTGAGCCGAAGATAAAATACTGTTTGCAGTAACTCAGGGCACAGTCAGCAACGGAGCGATTGCCATGATGTTATCGTATTTCTTACTTTTATTTCTTGTTTCTTTAAAAAAAAAAAAATTGTCAGTGAAATCCTTGGCAGCCCGCAGGACAGATTTCATTTGTTAGCGGCAGGAAGATAACGAACAGGATTTTTTTTTTCTTCTTTGCTATATGCTGCTTGCATGCTCCACTTATGAAGGAAAGCAATCTGCCGCTGGATGAGAGGTGCTGCTGCACCAGTGTGGCTCATCCCGACATCTCCTAGATGGGCCAAAGGAAAGCCAATTAGGCAAGCGTGGCAGCGGGTTGCTTGATGAGGCATTTTGCCCAGAAAAGAGACAAATGGGAGCCAGCGTTCCATCCCCAAGGAGCTCACCTGCGATGCGGAGCTGAGAGGGATTTTCTGCCTGACAGCTCTTCTCAGGGAGAAAAACGTCTCGAAAAGGGAATGAGAGGCTTTGTGCTGTGCTTGTGTCGCTGTAAGACATCATCATCCCAGTGGGTTTTTCTCTTTCAGTTGCTTTTCTTTGATAAGGCAGTGGCGCAGGTCTTGTTTCAGACTGAAGTGTTTTGCTGATGGCTTTGAAAACCAGACAGATGCTGGTAGAGTCTTCTCCCATTTCTCTCTCCCTGCCCTTCTCTTCTCAGAGGGAGGGAGAGAGCAGCTGCCAATCGCTCTGCTGGGACAAGAGAGAGATGGGAGAGTTTGGATTTTCGCATGGTTGGAAGAGTTTTTTCATTTTGAGGAGGAAAGTATTCAAACTGTGGGAGAAGGGGTAAAGTGCATGGGAAAATAGGAAATGCAAAGTCACTTATTTCAACTTATGAAACCATTGTGAAAAAGGCTGATGTTTTCCCCAGCTGCAGCCTGGTCCTCATGATACATGTGCCAATGGGCTGTCTCCTGCCTCGACGCATTGGGTTGGGGTTAAGCCCATGAGGGGACAGAACAGTACACAGTGGGAAATACATGGAGGTGCTGGAGACACTGGGGTGAGGCACCCCAGCTGCAAAAGTCAGCTTTCGAGCAGTCAAAAGTTGTCTTCCCAAGCTGCAGAGCGGGAGCAGTCCTCAGTGTGGGTGCTTGAGAGCTGGAAAGCTCACCATCTCAGGAGGGCACAGTGGTCCCACTGGTGTCACTCTTAATCCACGGCCTTTTGTAGGACTTGTTTCTCAGTCACTGGCTGATGGAGAAGCGTGTTTGGGGAATAATTTGCTTAGTAAGCAAGTGCAGTACCAGCCTTGCTTACTGAATCCCTACCCCACTGATTGCATAATGAAAAATCTGATTTATGGGTGATTAGAGGAAAACTGCCACTATTCATCAGATATTCATCAACTATTTGCAAAACCTAATTCAGTCAGTTCCCAAACACCAGGAATGGCAGTGCTGCAGAGCCAGAGCTCTGGGACTCTTGGGTGTGCTCAGCCACAGCCCCCTTAGCCGCTCTGGATACCTGGCAGATTTAGGTGTCTGCACCCAAAAGTGAGTTGCCAGATGCTATGAGCCCTAGAAGTTTAGCATCACTGGAGGTGTTGAAGAAACAAGATGTGGTACTGAAGGACATGATTAGTGAGCATAGCAGTGATGGATGGGTTGATGATAGATGATCTTAGTGGTCTTTTCAACCTTAATGATTCTGTGATTCTATAAGCTCTGCTTTTCTAGACCCATTGCTTGTTGGCATCTTGAGAGTGCCCAAGGAGCACCCAAAATCTATCCAGGAGAGGGAAGGCTATGGCTTGCTGGAGCCAAGACCAGCTCAGCATGACCTAAATTGATGGTAGGTCTCTCCTTATAGGGACTGGTGTCCTGAGATAGGATGAAGCATGACCTGTGTTTGCACAGCAAGGTGTTAATTTGTGCTGAGGGGAAGGTTTTCCTGAGTGCTGTGTGGAATGTCCATTGCTGTAAGAGCAGGACTAGAGGACAGCTCCAGAGACTGGCTAGAGATACAGCCCTCCATGCTCGCATTGCACGTGGCATTTCTTGGCAAAAGCTGCAATTCCTTCCTCCCCTCCGCCTCCCATTATCTGCACAGGGGCTGATTTATGCACAGCACCTCAGCAGACAGGACTGAATGAGCACTAATAGGATCAGATGGATGTCGAGCTGTCGAATACTGTAGGGCCTGATTCAATCAGCGTCTGCTTTCTCCCAGGCTCTTCCTTTCAGGATTTTAATAATGCCAGGCCTTGGCACCAGAAGATGAAGCCGTCCGTGGCGGGAACAGTGGATCTTATCAAGAGTGCTGCTGGGTGAGCCAGCTATCATTGCACAGCATCTTCCCCAGGGACAGCCAGCCTGGGAGGTGCAGAGCAAGGGGCACAGTGGGGACCCTCCTCCCCTCCTTGACATGGCAGAGTGCTCACAAAGGTGCGTTTCAGCCTCAGCACACCGTTTGCCCCCCCTTTCTCTGAGCTCAGCAATGAATTTCCGCTCAGGCCACTTAGCAGCTCTCGTGTTGGAGTTTGCTCTGGGAGTTATTACTGCATGCTCTGGGATTTATTAGCACAGAGAGACGATGAGTGTCCACGTGTGCGGGATGCTGCTTGCAGCAGGGCTGTCGTGACATCTCACAGCAGCTCTGTTGAACCCAGCACAAGCATTTGCCAGTTGTGCAGGACACACAACCACTCTGTGTCACATTGGGTGATCACTCTGTCTCACCGACACCGAGCTCACCCAGAAAGCTGAGCAGCTTCAACGTCACACTCTTCCCTTCTGGAAGAGGGGCTGGCAGTTTCTTTCCTGCATGAAGAGAGATGAGATATTTGTAGCCTAAACAGATTTTTCCATTCTCTCCTTTTGGCAGAATCTCATGTTCTGTCTCCTAAATATAAAACATTAAATGTTCAGGGTATCCTTTATTTTTCTCCTGCTTTTAAGTTTGTAATTCAAGCCAGATTAGCATGGTTTCCTCTTCTGTTTTATAGCCCCATCCTGGCCCCAAGCGAGCTCTCCTAATGCTCTCAGATGTTCCTCTAATGGATTACCTAGGCTGGAACTGGATACCCTTTCCTAATGGATTGCTAATAGCCTGTTTCTGGTTTTACAGGCTCCTTCGGTTAACTCACAACAGCAGCTATCTCTGTGCATGCCTGCAGGCTGCCCACGAGCGCAGCTGTGTGCACACTCGTGGATGCGATGGCATGCAGGTCCTTGGCCATGCACATGCTCCCCCACACAGCCGGGATGTCCCAGGTGACGTCAGGGAGCCTGACACAGCTCGTGCACCAGATCTACTCTTGCTCAGGGGTATCACCTGGATCAGGATCTCTCCATGGTTGTTTCTAGCGGAGATGACATGCGCTGAGCACTGGCGGGGTTGGTGCACAGGCGCAGGAATGTGGCAATGCTCAGAGGTAGTTGTAGGACTGGCAGCCAAGGAAGGAAGGGAGGATTTCCTCTGGTGAGCTGCCAGCAATTTGCAGATGCCGTTGTGAAGTCTAATTGAACGCATTGGCCGTGCTGACAACACGAAATGTTAACGAACCGTGCATCTTCAGATTTGCAGAAAAAGGTCATGAGATGTTTAAAGCTAATAATGCGATGGGGTTTTCTCCTTCATCTTCTGTTTTGGAAGCATTAGAGACGTGTTTGTAAGCATTTGCAAAGGCTGGAAACAGCTTTCTTTAGAACATCAAGGGGAGATCTTCATGGCTTGCCAGGATGTTAGGTGGCCGTGAGCAGCGGTCTGTGCAAGGTCTGCTGTGTGGGTGGGTTTAAGGATATTTCCCCCAAGCAAACCAACATTTTTTACCAAATGTGTGACTCTCACAGGCTAACATAACGCAGAAGTATGTCCTAATCGTATACATCACTGCCCGTGATGGGCAAGGGGAGGAAGGAGCTGGGAAGGCAATTAATGTGACCGCCTGCTGCAGCCGCATCCCCTTTGGGATGGCAGCAGTGTCACTTTGTGACACCACACTTCTTTGTGCCTGTTTGCATCCCCGTGCTGCTTTGCCTGCATTTCCCCTCCTCGCTAGGCAGCCTTGGCAGGGAGGTCACCCTGACCCAGCGCCATTAAAGCTTCACGCCTGGTTGCTTTTACTGCGACACTTCTCTTCCTTCCCCTCCTGGCTGCAAAGTCAGTGATTAAAAAAGAGGGGAAAGAAAAAAAAAAAAGAATCAATAGGAGGTAGGAGGAAGTGAAATGTTGAGGCTGGAATAGCGTCGCTTGCAGTTTGGTATGGGACAGGCAGAGCAGAGGTGCCACAGAGGTGGAAGTCCCATCTGCTGTGGCCCCAGCAGTAGGAGGAAGCTTTTGCATGGTAAATGCATCTGCAGCCGGAGCCTGGAGATTGGTGCTGAATGCCCTGAGCATCCCAGCCCTATCCTCCTGTGGCTGCAAGCAAAGCAAGCTCTGACAGTTGTCGCTTGGCAGGAGGGGAAGACGTATCCGGAGACAGAGTCCCATTATTAACAAGATTACAGCTGTGCTTTCAAAGATGCTCTTTATTTTAAGCCAGAAGGGAGCCATTCAGCCTCATCTGGTGTGAAACAAGCCAAGCTGCGGAGGAGCCCTGCAATTACTCGTCCTCCCCAGCCAATAGCTGGAGCTGAGCTGTGTGCTGCAGTCTTTTTTGGGGGGTGACTGCAGGGACAATGGCTCAGACCTCCCTGGAACTTATCCACTGCCTGGCTGGCAGGGAGGAGGCACAGGGGGAGGAGAGTCCTTCACTTTTACCAACCTTTCAGTTATCACTGAAGGAGAGAGAAAGTTTTGTCTGGGGTTAACCAAACTGATTCCCGCAGTGCCACAGGAGGAGACGTTTGGGGTCTCTTTTATTAGTAATGAATGTCAGACCTATATGATTTCCAGACAAAAGGGGGAAAACAAAACCTTTCCTTGCCCCTGCTGACATCATTTCACAGGCAGCAGCAACTGTTTGCTGTGACCCAGCTCACGGGGTTGACCCTGGTTTGGAGCAGGAGAAAACCCCTTCCAGGAGTCACAGCGGAGAGCGGGAGGCATTGAGGAATGGAAAGTAGAGCTGCAAACACATTTTTGTGTGGGATGCAAAGAGTCATCCAGTCCTCCCTTCTTCACTGCCTTCCAGCACATCGCAACACCAAGCCCAGCTGCAGGGCAGGGAGGGCTGAGGTCCTCTCCTTTTGGAGATCATCCAGGTATCAGCCTTGTACTGCATCACCCTGTTCACCAGTAGTTGCTTCCTGGCAGCACAGAATGGAAATAGAGCTTGACTGGGAGCAGAACACACTGTGACCTTTTTACTGCCAGGGCACCTTGGCAGGCTACGGGAGCACAGGGGGAAATCACAGCCTTAGCCTCCGCTTCACTGTGTGGGAGGATACAGTGCCCTTTAAACTTGTGTTAGCCATGGGATGAGAGATGGACACTGCTCGGTGTGTACAGTGTCCCAAGGATGGAGACCTGCAGAATGCCAGCCCATGCTGCCCTAGGCAAGATGTAGGCTGAATTACTGCTGAATTACTGGGGCTCAAGGGCTCTTTTTCATTTCTCTCTGGTGGTTTTTTGTTGTTGTTTTGGTGGGGTTTTTTTGCAATGCTAATAGCTCTGCATTGCACTGGCTGCTGATCCCTCATTAATCTGGGCAGCGCTTTACAGCCAGCCAGAGTGACTTTTGGCAGGTGCACAAAGGCAGGCTGCAAAATGCAGACCCCTCCAGCCAAAAAAAAAAATTACCATGCTCAGCCTTCCTCCAACTTTTTTCTCTGTGTGACAGGGATGTGGATTAAGGAATTTCTCCCTCTCCCTTTGATGCTGTGTGCCCAAACATCCCTCCGTGTCCTCCCCAGTCTGTTCTCGCTGCCTCTCCCTTTCTGTGTCCAGTTGGAACCTGTGTGTTTTCCCATCTGCTGCTGCTGCTGCATTTCTGTGCTGAGACACAGGCACCCGTTCATGGACTTTCTCATCAACCATGACAAAGCTGTTCCCTCTCTGATATATCCCCTAGCTCAGAAATGCCTTTTGGAAAACTTGAACTGCACTTCAGGACATCCTATGTATGATGGATGCTGTACCCTACACCTTCCCTTTTTATTTGCTGTCTAAATAGCTTAGGACAGCATCCTCCAAGATCCCACAAGGAAGATGCTTCATCCTGGGTCTTGGGGAGCATCCCCATGACCCCATAGTCCCATCTGCAAACATTCAGCTGCAGGCCAGCTGCATCTGGAGGGCAGCAGGAAAAGCAGGTGCTGAGGACATTCTTTCAAGTGCTGTATGTGCAGCACTAGGTGCTAGGAGCCTATCTCTGCTGGGCACCCTGATCCAGCTTGGGTTTGGGGCAGAGGAGCTCAAACTCCTTTCCTGCAGGACTGTGCCCTGGGAAGGGAGCACCTAATTCTGGCCATACGGATGAGAGGCAGTCGAGGGCTGGTTCTTTGCCTCTTCAGCAGGCTGGAAAACAGTAAAGCCCAGCACAGAGCCATACTGGGGGCTGAAGTCTTGCCTATCTCTGCTCCATGCAAGGCCTCTCCTTGAAGACATTTCCCCTGTGCAGGCAGCTGCAGTCACATCCTTTGCCCCAGCAGGACAACGACATCCTGTGATGACCACAGCTGCTCTCCCTTTCATGTTCCCAGTGTCACCCAGGAGTGCCATAGCACAGCTCCAGATGCCCTTCCTGACACCAAGCAGGGCGGTGGGGGGACAGGGAACAGGCACCGTGGCACACTCTGACCTCTGATCCTGGCTGAGGCATTAGAAGTATCTGCTGGAGTCCCAGAATGATGAGCAGGCATTAAAGACAAATTCTGCCTGAATGATCCCAAACACTGCACCTGCTTCCAGCATTGAAGCCTACACACCCTAAACCTGGCACCCTAATCAGCTGCACTTGTGCCAGTGGGTCAGACCCTGGCTCAGTGCTTTTGCTCTTCCCTACAGAACTCATGCCCCATGTGCAGGGATAAGCAGGGCTAAGCATCCCTCTTCCCAGCCCAAAAAGTGCAGTGCTGAGACAGACACACACCTTTCTCCTTGCTCCCCTGTGGATTTGATAACAACTTCGCACCTCGCGGGCGGCAGAAGACCCTTTGCTCCAGATGTGCTGCAGATGTGAGGCTTCAAGCCACTGGGAGCACCTGAGAGCACAAAGCCTGGCTTGCGGCAGGCTGCAGGCAGCTCTCAGAGAGACAACAGGGGCAGAAAGGCTCTTGCCCACAGTGAAAAAGCAAAGCATCCCCTTCTCTAGTGGGGAACTTAGTGGCTTTATAAAAGCTGAGGGTGATATCTGTGTAACAAAAAGATTAAATCTGTGCTAGGATGTTGAACATGCTGTGCAGGTGAGATGGGAAGAGGGCTGATTGTTTCTCAGAATGGGTTCCCTCCTTTCTGATATCCCTGCAAGGAGCAGGGTGATGGCTTTGACCACACCAGTCACTAGCCAGGCAGTTCTGCCAAGGCACACATCCCTGGCAGGGACAGTGTCCCCATGCATGCTGAGATGCACTGTCAGGACATCCTTGCCACATCAGCACACTGACTGTGCTGCATCCCAGTGGTGCAGCCCCCTTGGCTGTTCAGCTCTTTTCAATTTCTGGGATGCAAGCAAGAACCAGGCTGAAGTCTTCATCTCTATCTTTCTCTTGCTGTTGAACCAGTTCTTAATAAAATTCAGCTGTCAGTGTTACCCTGGGCAGTGGGATGCTGTGCTGGAGCCTTCTGCTCCTGGAAGCATTGCCCACCTTGCTGCTGTCTCCTGAAGCCTCAGCCACCATCTGCTCCCACCATCTGCATCCCAGGCTGAGTTCTGGGGCTCACTGGGCACAAAAAATGCTCTGGGATCTTCCCTGAATAATGTCATAGAATCATAGAATCCTTAGAGTTGGAACAGACATTTAAAGGTCATCTATTCCAACCCCCTGCAGTAAGCAGGGACATCCACAGCTAGATCAGGCTCTGAGATCTTGATCCAACCTTGACCTGAAAGTCTCCAAGGATAAGGCATCAACCACATCTCCAGGTAACTTGTTCCAGTGCCCCACTACCCTCACCGTAAAAGATTTTTTCTCTGTATCCAACCTAAATATTGAGCTTGAGGCCACTTCTCTTTTTTTCTGTAATGACAGATACTGCTGAAGAGTCAGTCCTCTTCATTCCTGTAGCTCCCCTTCAGATACTGAAAGGCTGCTCTCAGGTCTCCCTCAGCCTTCCCTGCTCTAGGATGCATAGCCCCAGCTCTCTCGGCCCGTCCTCATAGGAGAGCTGTTCCATCCTTTGGATCATTTTTGTGGCCCTCCTCTGGGTGTGCTCCAACAGGTCTATGTCTCTCCTGTGCTGAGGACTCCACATATGGACGCAGATGTCCCTGCCCCCAGAGCTGCTCAGAGCCACTGGGACCACAGCGCTTGGCTTGAAGCCATCAGCAGGCTCAGAGGCCAAGCACCATGTCCCCCCCTTTGCCTCCTGAGCAGATGGGCTGTGTCAGTCCCTCATCCCCCCTGGACATGTTTATTATCAACATGTGTTGCGAGGGAAGGTGGTTCGTGTCAGCTGGGCGAGTGGGGAGGAGAAGGCTGCACAAAGGGGTGTCCATGGTCATGCAGGGTTTGTGTGGCCCCGTGCTACTCCAAGCCAGACGCAATTAGGATGGATGGGAAATGAAACCAGTGGGTATTAATGATGAACCTCAAGGAAGGCTGCAAAATGATGCACAGCGCTCTCCCGCAGGGGTCCCTTTGGTGACCACAGGAGTCTGATGCAGGTTGGTGTTATCCCTGACATGTTGTGTCAGTGCTGAGCTTTCCTCTGCTGTCAGTACTGTGTGATTGCTCAACAGTGACACTGCAGTGTGGATGCATTTCTATCAGGACATATCGCCAAGTGGATCAGATGTCCCCAGGAGGGGAAGGAGTGGGGTTGCTGGAGATGTGCTGGCAAGGGAACCTCCTCTCAGTCTTGAAAGAATGTTGATGCATGGACTGTCAATGCCAGGCTACCCTGATCCCCACATCCCAATATGTCCGAGCAGAACTGCCCACACATTTACTAGTTTATGGTGACCTCTAGAGGAAGCAACTCCACTCTGGCTCTGCAGATCTGGGGACTCACTGCACCCTTGGCTTAGCTGGAGCTGGAGCATCTCCCTGTGTGTCCTTGTGCTGCACAGTGATCATACCTCTGGCCCAAACCACCCCAGAAAAACTTCCAGTCTGGTTTGGAGGATGCATGGGGACATGTGGATATCAGGATTAACACTCTGCCTATTTCCATTTATGCACAGCCAGCTTCAATCCCAGCCCTTTACCCCCTTGCTTTGCCTTTAGATGATATTTTCTCCCTATGGGGGTAAAAAAAAAAAGTAATGTAAACCAGTCTCTTTATCACCCTCTAGCTGGGCTAAACACACTGATCATCTCATACTTCCCACTGCCGGAGTTCCTCCTCTGGCTGCCTCCCATCCCCAGCACCCCCTGCCTGATCCCCACCTGCCCGCAGGTCGAGCTGTCGGATGGCACGTCACACACCATCACAGATGCCTATGCTGGCAAGGAGTACATCATCCAGGTGGCCGCCAAAGACAACGACATCGGCACGTGGAGCGACTGGAGCGTGGCTGTGCATGCCACCCCCTGGACGGAGGAGCCCAAGCACCTCACCACGGAGGTTCAGATCACAGGTGAGACCCTCACCCAGCACAAACACCCCACACTCAGGAGTCCGGGGTATGGAGACCCCAGCACTGGGGGTGTGTGGCAGAGGAGGGCACAGCCCTTTACCACGTGCCTTCACGAGCCTGTGGCCCCGTTGCATGGTTGGAATGGCCCAGGAGGTGCTGACTCAGCACACCTAGCTCTGGCATCTTCCTCACTGGAGTGCTCCAAGTGCCACGACAGGGCTCTGGATTTATTAGTATTTGCTGGAGTGCTGCCCCCCACCATCTCCAGCTCTTCCTCTCCTCCACAGCTCCAACCCCGCGCAATGGCTCGGAGCGATGCCAGTTAGAAATAAAAGCCCCCAAGTTAACAAGCCTCTGTTTCTAGGAAAGAGCTGGGACCGTGTCCAAATGCACGTTATCGGCCCTTGGCTTCCCAGAAGGATGGGAGCGTGCCCTGCGCCGGTTCCCCTGACTGGCACCAGCTGTGGGGTGGCTGGGAAGCACTGGGGGACACTCATTGCCAGGCACTCTGGAACCCTCTGGGTCTACTGTTAGAGAACAGAAAGTCCCATAGACCACGCTGTCTCCATTCTCATCATCTTCTCCATCCAGCTTGGCCCTAGAGTAGCACCGTTGGGCAGTGTGGGGATGGGATGCTGCCCTACTCCTGTGGGCAACATCCTAGGGGGCCCCAGCTCCTCTCACCACCCACTCTCCCTCCCTGCAGAGACGACGAGCACCAGCACTTCCTCTTTCATGCCGCCCCCCACCACCAAGATCTGCGACAAGGGGGCCGGAGTGGGCAGTGGCGCCGTGGCAGTGTGTTGGACAGCTGGACTGGTCTTGGCTGCCTATGGTGTCCTCTTTATTTAGTGAGTATGCCCCAAATGGGGGCATGAGGGATGGGGTGGGTGCTGGAAGGGCGTGAAGAGCTCAGGGTCTGTAGCATGGTTGGGAAGGAGACGCTGAGCAGCCTGTGGGCGACGGCTGTTGGGTAGGAAGCACTTGGGTTTGCTTGCAGTTCTTTGTCAATAAACCCAACATGGCTGCTTTTCCAAATCGGGTGTTCTGGTGAAGATAGCTGGACATGGTTTTTCAGACACCTTCTGCAAAGCTTGCAAAGGAGTTGGGCTTAGATGCTCATGTTCAGCAGAGATGGGGCATAAAGGATGTGCCACCCACCAGGAGGCACCAGAAAGTGCACCAAACAGCCTCTCACATACTGAGGCAGAATGTTGAAAGGTGCACAACACTGAGAGTGGGGTTGGTGTCTTCTCACTGGTGACAGGTGACAGGATGAGGGGAAATGGACTCAAGTTGTGCCAGGGGAGGTTTAGGTTGGATATCTGGAAAAAGTTCTTTACGGAAAGGGTTGTTAAGCACTGGAATGGGCTCCCCAGGGAGGTGGTTGAGTCACCATCCCTGGATGTGTTGAAAAAACATTTGGATGTGGTGCTCAGGGACATGATTTAGCAGAGAATTGTTAGATTTAGGGCAGATGTTTAGGTTGTGGTTGGACTTTATGAACTTGAGGGTCTTTTCCCACCTGAGCAATTCTATGGTTCTGTGAGTCTACATGACCCATGGCAATTCCCATGGTCCTTTCCCTTTGGGTGCATCACCCCCATGTATGATATTAGTGGTGGCAATAGCAGAGGTGGTGTCACGCAGACAGCGGTGCAAGGGCAGGGTCCTTTGGGAGGAGGTGGAAGTGATGGTTTTGCGTGCTCAGGTTCTGAGGAGGTGTGCATTTCTTCCTGGGGAAAAAGCCATATTCAGCTCAGCGTATCCCCAGAGCTGTGTCAGTAGCTGGACACTCCTGCTAGCTGGCAGGAGGATGAGTGACCCTTCTCTTCCTCATCACAGATCCCCATCTGTCGCAGCCCAGCGGAGACAACCTCCCACAGCCACCGCCACCTCCACCACCACCCTCCCTCCGCACCCTGCCCGTTCTGAGTCTCTTTATCTCTTCGATTTTGCACACGTTGAGGACGTATCACGCTTCTCGCCATCGCTGCGGAGGAGGACAGAGCCACCATCCCCCCTCCAGGAGGACCTGCCCCAAAAATCCTCGCCGAGAGCCCGGAGCGAGGACATGCACGTGTCCCCATGTCACCCACTCCGCCCCACTCTCGCAAGGCGCAACGCGCCCGGGCACCGTGCCGCAGCCCCGGATCCCGCGGGCCAGCCCCGCCATCGCTCATACAGCTAACCCGCCATGCCAAAGACGTGCCAGCGCCGCGCCGCCGGGACGCGGGTGACAGAGATGGCGCGCTCGGAAGAGGGGATGGGAAACGGGGACGGGGATGGAGGGATGCTCTCAACCTGCGGCCAAAGGGGGCACCCCGAGGACCGGACTCACTCCCCCCTGAGCTCTTGATGGCGTGGAAAAGCTGGAGGGGTGCAGGATGAGGGCTCGGTCCCCTCCGAGGGGATGGTGGAGGGATGAACTGGTGGCTTTCAGGAGTGCAATGGGGATTCGGGAGCTGGCTCGGTTTTCATGGGGATAAAAGGGGATCAAAACAGCGACAAAAGCCTAGGCTCCCCCCAGCAGCCCCTTGCAGAGCATCGCGGAGCCTGCCCCTCCAGCCAGCGCCCAGCAGCACCCAGAGGAGCCTTCACCTCCCCGTCCCCACGCCCCCACTCTCTTTCAACCACGTTGGATACAGGGAATCACCTCCATCAACATCTTTGTCTTACTCTTCAGCAAAATAAGAATAGCTTTGCCGTCCCCTTAGAGCTGGAGCCCCGAAGACCTGCCCCCCAGTGTCCCTGGCTGTCCCAGTCGCACTCTGCTCTCCTCCCCGTCCCGCCCAGGCCCTGTTTTGTAAAGACAGCTCCTCTTGTCCCTGCCCAAACCCGAGCGCAGTATTTAATACCGTACGTCCTAGTATTCCAACTGTTGACATGCTGTATTTGAATTTTTTATAGATGTATATATATAAAAAAAAAACAAAAAAAAACAAAAAAAAAAAAAAAGAAAGAAACAAACAAAAAAAATAATGGAGGGAAGAAAAAAATAAAGCCCACACAGACACACGCACACACACACACGCGCGCCAGGAGAGACGGTCTTCATTAAATGATCATTTCATGACCACTGTCAGCTCTGGGTTATTTCCTCTCTGGACAGGAGGGTTTGGTGCACAAAACCTGGCCTTCAGAGCACTTCAAGAGGGTGTAAGAATGGTGGTGGGATGCCCACCTCTGGAAACCCGTGGTTGGGTGTCAGCACACCATGTGGCATCCACGCTGTGGTGAAGTAGCTGGCTGCTGCTTGTACCCATTCATGGGTAGTGCATCCTCAAGCTCTGGCTGCATTCAGGTACCTCCTAGGGAGGTGAGAGGACAGAGCTGTGGGCATCTCTAGAGGCAGGAGATGACACAGTCCCGATTAATGCACTTTCCTTGTCTGATTAATAATTTGACATCAGAAAAATGGCATTGGCCCAGATGCTTTGAATTAAATTTCCATGTGACAGTGCTGACAAGGACTGTGTGTAGGGACAGCCTCCACTGACAGCTTGGACTGAGGAGCAGGATGCAGTGCAATGGGGTCTGCTCCTCCGTTTCCCCAGCACGTGCCCCAGTTTCCTGCCAGTGTAGAGGCTGCTGGGCTCATGTGTTCATATGCATATGGATACAGGCAGCCTGTGCTGGTCTCAGATCGGTGAACACCAGCAATCCCTTTGCCCTCTTGTTTGTCCAGGTCTGCTGGGGATGGATGGGATGGAAGAAGGCACACAGGAGCAGCCTGTGTGCTGCTCTCATCTGGCCTTGCCTTTGCCTGATGCTGGGCCTCATGCCTTCCAAAAAGAGATGGATGGATGGATGGATGGATGGATGGATGGATGGATGGATGGATGGATGGATATAACATGACAACAGCCCAGGATTTTCACAGCCCTGAAGGCAGCACCAAGTGAGCACCAGCTCCCACCAGGTTCTTACTGTGGTTTTTGCTGTGCTGAGGCTTTGCTAGAGGAGAGCTCAGCCCCATGCAGCCCTGCCTCCTGCTCAGACAGTACTCCCCTGCATGCTGGCCTGGTTCACTGGTTAATGTCCCATTACCAGACAACATGCCTTCATCATTTATTAATGTTTCATTAGTGTTAAAAACATCTGGTAATTAATTATGCACTAATTATGGATTCACAGCATTAAAAGCCAGGGTAATCAGCCATAGCAGATGGCTCTCAGGGCAGGGGGAAGAAGCTTCTCTTGGCAGAGAAGAAAATGTCAGGCCCAGCCTTTGCCTGGGGGAAGTATCACAGACAGAATGCTTTCATCTCTACCAGGCTCTCCCAGTCCATGCTAAGGCTGACTAGGAACCAGTCACAGGCACACGAGCTCAGGCCGTTAAACAGAGAGGAAACCTGCCCCTCTCCAGCCATTTTAGAAACCAAAGGAGCGGTGTTCCTGTACACAGGGCTGATGGAAAGTGGTGGCTTTTGCGCCCAGTCCCAGGCACCCTCCATCATCGGGAGTCCCACTGCCGGCTGCAGGAAGTTATTTGTCAGCCCCTCCATCATGCCTGTCTGCATCAAGCAGCAGTCCATAAAGCAAGGGGTGTTGTAAAATCCCAGTCACAGGGTGCCCCAGCGATATTGCCTACAGATGTGCAGAGATGTTTCTAACTCGGGAAGGTCCCCAGGGAGCATCCCTGCCAAGCAGAAAATCCATCCACTTAGCAGTATAAATCCATACAGGAAGAAAGAGGGAATTGCCGTGCTCAGAGAGCCCCGTGCATCGTATAACATGAAATTTAATACATTAGCCAGGCAGAATGGGTCCCCACATCTCCCCAGCACATATGTGGCAGTAAATCCCACCTTAGGTGTTGCTTTCGGCTGTGGCTGATGTGAGAGCGGCTTTTCACTGCACTCCCCAGGCAGGCAGGCTCAGGAGCTATTTCCTGGCTGCGAGGCTGTGTAAGAAGCAGAACACTGCCTCACTCAAGGGATGGGCTTAGCAGACAGCATATGGCTTCAGTGGGGTACCACGCTTCGGTGGATGGAGGAGGAGCAGTAGGCATGGTGGTTAGTGTTCAAGCTCTGGCAGAGCATCAGACCCAGATGAGAATGATGATGTACAGGGGTAAAAAGCAGAAAGTACACCAAGACAGCTTCACAGACGGACCTGGCCATGCATGCGTCCTATCAAACTTGCTGCAATGCAAGGTGGGATCTGCCAAGCCAGGTGGCACAGGAGAGCTGCAGCTCTTTGGGGCAGGCATCGACCTGGTCTCCGAAGTGCAAACGTCACAGCAAGAGATGGGGAGATAAGCATGAGCAGCAGCAGGAGCTGGAGGAGAGGTGGTGCTTGTGGTACAAGGGTGAAGAGCAGCACCTTCAAGGGGAGAGAATGCAAACTGATTTAGTGTGATTTTGAGGAGGGTTGGTCCCCAACATGCAACAGTCCCAAGTCCAGCAATGTACAAGATCTCACCCAAAACCGTGGGGCACATGTTTAAAAACTGCCTGCTGCTGCTGTGCCAAGAGAGATACAGAGCCGGATGCCTTTGGCAGGTTGCAGCTTTCCTTCCAGGACTTTTCTCCCAGTGGCTCAGGAACAAGGTTCTGCTGCCAGGAAAGGCTTCTGCTCACTGCTGGTGATGCAGGAATGAGTTTGGGTGGTTCAGCTACCACTTCACAAAGAAGCAGATGGAGATGCAGTCAGTAGCCATGCGGATAAAGAGATCCTACCTGAGCATCCTCACAGTGATGCAAGGCAAAGATTTGTAGCAGCAGGAGGTGATAAATCACAGCAAGTTTCCAGTGACAGCCTTAGAATGTCTGTCTTTGTTGGCTTCAGATCGGGACTTCAGGACTGGATGTCTCCAAAAGAGGGTATCTGTTGTCTGAAGAGCCTCAAAGGACACTCCTCTTCCTCATCTCCATCCTGAACAGAGCAGGATCTGCCCTGGCACTGTGTTCCTGGTCCCCCGACACCTTGTTCTCCACTTCCATGCCCTCTCTTCCCTTCAGACCAGTCCTGACACCTCCTCACCCCAAAAGGCAACACAAACAGGCAGCACCCACCTCCTGCTGCCCCACATCATCTCCCTGACTACTTTCAGTCTGTCCCAGTGCTCTGATCAGGGTGACCTCCAGGGTATATCTGCACACCTCACATGAGAACACAGCAGCCGGACCCAGCTTGCATGGCTCAGCAGCAGTATGCAGACCAGACCACACCAGAGTCCCCTAATAAGCAATTGACTCTTTTTCTCTCCTCCCTTTCAAGAAAAAGCCAAGCATTAATTTGGCTTCTGCCACTCTGTTTATCTAATAGCATCTCTGATTGATTGTCTTATTTATAACCCAGATCCGGTGTCTGGGCTGCTTGCAGAGACAGGGATGATTGATGGGAAGAAGACAGCCGGGAGAGGACTTAATGGAGCTGTGTGGCTGAGCAGCAGAGCAGTGGCTTAGGCATGAAATGCAAGCATCTTCCAGAAGTCTGGGCTCCTTTTCTCCTCCTGCACATTGTTCTCGGGGAAGATGCTAGGTGCTGGGAGAGAGCACTGTGGCCAGGGATGGTGCTCAGGTCTCCTCCAGCAGCTTGGACAAGAATGGGCCAAGGGGACACAGTCATCAGCAACTTGTGCTGCTCAATGGATTCTTGCACCAACCTGAACGCGTTCCAGGCCTCTGTCCCACCACCAAGAGCAGCTGTCCCCTCTGCAGGATCAGCACATGGCTGACATCTTCAGGTCTCCAAGATGATGTTCAGCTTTGATCCGAGCCAGAGCAAAACCCTCAGCTTGTTATAAAGTTCAGTTTAGGAAAACAAAAGAAAAAGAAAAAACAACAACCACCATATTGGTTCAGTCAAAATATTTCACGGTTGTTTAACAGTCTTTATTTTATCTCTGATTGTAATAGATAATCTAATACAACCCTAGAGCAAAGCCAAACGCAGAGCTCTTTCATGATGAGGGATCCCATCAGCCAATTTTGACGTGGCTAAGCCCCATCACTTTTCTTGTTTTTTGTTTTTCTTCCTTTCTTTTCACATCTGAAATTTGAGCAAAACCAAAGCAGCTTCACGAACACTGTTATTCAAGTAGAGCAAAGGAAACCAATTTGAGAATTAGTCTCTCATCCACTGACATTTGGCATATTGGCACTCACACCCCCAACACCTGGTAGCCTCTACTCAGTGCTTTTGGTAGAGATCTGTCACTTTGGAGACAAAACTTCATGGAAAATCCCCCATACCCTAACACAAGCAGAGTGGTGCACATTCCCTTTGGGGTCACCTCACCCTCTGGCTGAGGGTGTAGGAGAGGTCCAAGATCCTGTGCAGGATGTTCGAAGAGGCCATGACAGAGGGGCCCCTGAGCAGAGGGAGAGGAAGCAGCCTTTGATGTAGAATCTCTCCTTTTGCAAACACAATGAGTTGCAGAGGAGTTTTATAAACATGGCTATTGTTGCTCCATCCCTTTGGTGGGAACAGATGGTCCAAGCGCTCAGTTTGGCCCCCCTCTCTTTCCCTCACCCTCCACCCCCATTAATAAAGCCCCAGCAAGTCCAGTACCGCTAAGGTTTTCCCAAGGGGGATCAATAAATAAATGTAATAACAACAAAGGGGCCCATGCAGACGAGATTCTGTTACAAAGAGGCCTCGGCCCCCCTCCTCCTTTCCGGGTGAGAGACATTGCGCACAGGCACTCCAGTCGGTTCGGGGAGAGGTTGCTCCATCCCCACTGTCTGCAAGGTCTTCACTCTTGATGAGCTGAGCAACATCTGGAAGTCAGGATGACAACTCTGATGCCACTTTGAAGCCTAGACCATGGGATGGTGATGGTACGTGGCTTTTAACTCCCCATGGGCATTTTCTTGCCTTTTGAAAGATATCTGATCACAGTCTGGGGAAAGGCTTAGCCACCAGCCCTGGGTATGCAGGTAAGCATGATGTTGTCTTCTTTTATGGTTTCCTGGCTAGATGGTTGCTCCAGATCTTTTCCCAGCTGATCACAGTAAGTACAGATCTCTGAGGAATCAGCTTTCAGATTCTACTTCAGCTCAGTTTCTATCTTGTTGCTTGACACTGGAGGATGAGGCTGTTTTCTGACCAGAGAAAAAGAAGTGG